AACAAGAAATCAATCAACAGCAGAACAAAGGAAATAAACCTCTGCTAACCAACAAACTTCACTTCTTTAATATTGCACTGATCATAGTATCTAGTGGGGTAATGAAATATCTGCATGCTGAATACCAATATCAAAAGAATGCCATCAATGCAAATATATTTTGTTTATGTGAGAACATTTTTCCCTATGGTGTGCTTTTTTCTCACATAAAAGCCAGATTATTGAAGTAATTATTTGTACATGGGGATGATAATTCAGTGATTAAACAGTTTCTCAGCTGAAAAGCTGAAGCCCAGGTTCAAGATCTGAGCATTGCACAATGGGGTGAAGTCCCATTCCTGTCCCAGCTCCTGCCCACCTAGCAGTTCGAAAGCATGCAAATACAAGATTAATAGGTACCACTTTGATGGGAAGGTAAAAGTGTTCTATAAGCCTTTGGCATATAGCCATATTAACCATATGACCATGAAAAATGTCTTTGGACAATGCTGGCTCCCTTAACCAAGAAACAGAAATGAGCATTGCACCTTAGAATTGGACACAACTGGTAGAGAAATCTTTACTTTTTTCCTTTACATGGATCCAACCTCTTCAATATTCCTCAAATGTGTACTTGCTTACTCTGCTGTGAGCCCTTCCTTTGCAATGAATGTAATTACAAACATTAATTCTCTTCTGACCTTATTGTCCCAGTGTCAGGGTGAGCATTCTAAAGCAGAGTGGGGTAGGAAAAGGAACTATAAGATTTGGCCTTGAGTTCCAGAACCTTTCCCCAACGTTTAGGTCAGTATTTCTCAACCTTGGCCATTTTAAGATGTGTGGACTTCAACTCCCAAAATTCCCCAGCCACATATCTTAAAATGGCCAAGGTTGAGAAACACTGGTTTAGGCTCACCTGCCTGTTTTGGATTGTATCCTTATGATGGTGTAAAGCAAAGTAAAATTATAAGTACAGTTGCAATTATGTGATTCTTCACTTAGCAATTGTACCACTTATCAACCAAGTTCTGATGGTCCCAATTACGATCATTAAGCCATGAAAACCAGCTTGGTGCCCTTAGGCCAGTCGTGCTCTTTTGGCCAACTCACTTCACAGGATTGTTGTTGTGGGGAAAATAGGAGGAGGAAAAACTGGAAAAAATGCACACTTATAAGTGGTACCTGGCTCAATAGTAATCACTGTGAGAGGAATCTTAGAGTTCTAGTGGTCAATCACTTAAATATATAAGCCAGCAGTGTGCTGCAGCTGCCAAAAAAGCCAATGCAATCCTAGGCTGCATTAATAGAAGGATAGAATCAAGATCACATGAAATGTTAATAATAATAATGCCTTGGTAAGATCATACTTGGAATACTGCATCCAGTTTTGGTCCCCAAAATATAAAAAATGATAGCAATGTTCCAATATCCAGGGCTTTTTTTCTCATTGAACACCCAGAATGGAATTCCGGCACCTTTTTTGGATGGAACCTTGTAGGGTAGGCAAGACGGGTTGTATGATGTGTGTGAGTTCCAGCACCTTTTTTTTTTTTTTAAGAAAAAAAGCACTGCTAATATCTCAGGGGCTGCCACAAAAAGAGAGAGTCAGCCTATTCTCCAAAGCACCCGAAGTCAGGATAAGAAACAATGGATGGAAATTAATCAAGGAGAGAAGCAACCTAGAACTAAGGAGAAAATTCCTGACAGTTAGAACAATTAATCAGTCGAACAATTTGCCTCCAGAAGGTGTGGGTGCTCTAGCAATGGAGGTTTTTAAGAGATTGGACAATGTTTCTCTGAAATGGTATAGGGTTTCCTGCTTGAGAAGGGGGTTGGGCTAGAAGACCTCCAAGGTCTCTTCCAAATCTGTTATTATGTTATCTCTTATGCTAGAGTCAGTATTTATAATATTGGATTAGAAGACAGAGCTTCTACAGTTTGGGCTAGACCAGCGTTTCTCAACGTTTGTGTGACGGCGACCCCGTCACACGAACGTGCTGCGCATGCATGCCGCCGCCCCCATGCGCGGCACGCATGCGCGGCGCCGCCCCCATGTGCGGCACCGCTCCCTGAGAGGGGAAAATGGCGGGTCGCATTGTTTGGCGACCCCCGTAAAATGGTCAATCGACCCCAAATGGGGTCGCGACCCATAGGTTGAGAACCGCTGGGCTAGACTGTAACACTGATGTATTTCATTTGAAAAACCAACAATGTATAAAAGATAACCCAAAGTCTAAGAAAGTTCATGTGCAGTAAGAAAGAAGTTATCATATGTACACAACATGGTTAAGAAAAGGAATCTGTGCTTCATCTATTGTAGTTACTTCTTTAAATTCAGATTCTAGCTGTATTTGCTACATTATTGTGTCCATGTACATGGAAATCCCAAGACAAATCTATTTTAACTTTCATTTATCCTTTCCTTTAAAACTATACAGAAATACTTTGCTGCTAAAAATGTCATACAGTAATGATTGGGTTAAACTTGTCAGAGACATTTTAATACTGAAGATTTCATTTAATTTATAGCAGATATATTTTCCAAGGAGGAAAATGCTGATGCTATCTTGGTTATAAGCTTGCCACCAAAATGATTTAGATAGTTTTTTCCCCTTTTCCATGCAGTATCAGAATAAAGCAGTTCTTCGCAAGCAATGAATTATAACTGACACTTTAAATCTATTTTGTCTGTATCTTCTACTTCAGAAAAATGGGAAAACATAAATTATATGTATGTGTGTAATATATATATATATATATATATATATATATATATATATATATATATATATATATATATATATATATATATTTTCTGAAGTATATACACGAGACAAGATACACACACACACAACACAGATTTTATGTGTATACACACACACACACACACACACACACACACAGAGAGAGAGAGTCATATATACACACTTTAATAAAGACTAAAGATAAAAATGATTTATTGCCGGATAATGAATAACTCTTACCTAAGCCATTTTCTGAATAATAAAGGGCATGGAATATTTGCCAATTTTTAATTGAGAATATAAAGGTTATTAAGCAACAAAATGACAATAGTTTTATAATATAAAGTAATATTCCAGTACAATAAAAGAAATCAAGATCTTGAAAATGCACATAAAATACTGCCCGAGTTCACTGCAAGTTAAAATGGATGTCTTCCTACTGATACCTTCTCTATTTACACCTGAATGGAAAAAGTGGCAAACTATGAAATGAAAATAGGAATCGTGATTATTCTGCTCCACTTTACTTACTTGTGTGCCCAATTTCTGGCATGTTCTTTTTATAATAAGCTAAAGCAGAAACCTTATTTTATTGGTTTTGAATCTGGTTAATTGAAGATGAACATTCCAGAATATCTGATTGCATTTTATTAAGCCAATGGCACTGCTGAATTCAGGTTACAGAAGTAGTCCAGGAGTACATCAAATGAACTAACCCAATTAAACAACTGGGGTGGTATCCTTATGATGATGTAAAGAATTCTGCTAGAAAAGACAATCAACTTTTTCCTTAGCATTCTTTACTAAAAGTAGCTAAATACATTTCAACGAAACCCACAAGCAGGTCACACTCTTTCTACCACTATTCTCCAATAGAGGGACACACTTATTTTTCATGAAAGTTAAACTTACCTGGCTTTGATTTTTCTTATGAGGGTATGTCTAGTTTAATGAAGAGAAGAACGTGGGGGGACATGATAGCAGTGTTCCAATATCTCAGGGGCTGCCACAAAGAAGAGGGAGTCAAGCTATTCTCCAAAGCGCCTGAAGACAGGACAAGAAGCAACGGATGGAAACTAATCAAGGAGAGAAGCAACCTAGAACTAAGGAGAAACTTCCTGGCAGTTAGAACAATTAACCAGTGGAACAACCTGCCTCCAGAAGCAGTGAATGCTCCAACACTGGAAGTTTTTAAGAAGAGACTGGACAGGCATTTGTCTGAAATGGTATAGGGTTTCCTGCCTGAGCAGAGGGTTGGACTAGATGACCTCCAAGGTCCCTTCCAACTTTATTATTATTATTGTTGTTGTTGTTGCTGTTGTTTCATACATTAAATGCAGAATGAGTGGAGTTTTGCCTTTTCTGCCTACAATTTTATTGGATAGCCTTGAATTCCAATGTTTCCAGAAAGAGCAAGAGGAAGGGGAAAACTCACAACTCTTCACTTTTTCATATTTAATTTTATCAAAATTTATTCCAGGAGTATTTTGGGATTGAGTGTATATGGAATTTGAGAGCATATGAGTAGTGGGCATGGACAGTAACAAAGCATTCATCTCTCTGAAAGTGAACTGGCTTCCCAGAATGCTTTCTCTCATCCTAAATTGACTGTATCTTCATATGAAATTCCTATTATAAAAGATGAATAGAAGGTTGTCCTTGTAGCCTAAATTATCTAGACAATTTTTCTAATTTTGTAATATTATTAGAATAAAGAATTCATTTTTAGTTTTTATTATTCTTAACTATTTTAGTTGCTTTACAATAGATGCTTACATAATTTAAATATAGCATACTATAAAATTCCATATTATTTCTGACCAATAAATGCTGATTTCTCTTTGCCTTTAATAAATACATCATATTCTGACAATTAATTGACTTAATTAAAAGCTAACAATTATGCTCTTTCATAGGTCAATATGTAGATTAATAACACAACTTGTAAAGTTAATCTTCTGGTATAATACAAATGACACTAAGTTGTGTACTAAATACCTTCTCAAGAAACAAAATAGAGGTCTACGTGTACTTTAATGAAAAGTAAGGATTATGAAAAGGTTAAATAAAGAAAAATGTTTTGGATTATGAAAATCCCAGGCTGAAGCAATTTATATTGAAATGCACATCCTTCACATTCAACTACTGTACCTCTGTTTTAATATATATAATTAGGGCTTTTTTTTGTCATAGAACGCCCAGAACGGAGTTTCGGCACCTTTTTTGGATGGAACCTTGTAGGGTAGGCAAGGCGGGTTGTATGATGTGTGTGAGTTCTGGCACTTTTTTTTTTTTTTTTTTAGAAAAAAACCCACTGTATATAATCATAAATTAACTGCAGGACAGCATTGTGTTCTTATAAACTGCTGTTAAATGATTGTTAGAAAATATACTTGACTTGTTTTTAATAGTTTTTTTTTAAAATAACAGCATTATGAATGGAACAGAAGGGAAATTTACTTTGTGGAAGAAAAGGTAGTATAACAATAGCACCTAGACAAGATTATCTATTTAAATGAACACTGTGTTAATAACTGTGTTCTTACTGTATACATTATTTTATGATCAATGCTTTTATGCTTTGTTAATTTGTTTTTAAGGACATTAAAACATTTATGACACCGAATCCAACTCTTTGCTCAGTTATAGAATCCAAATTACAGTTTCTGATTGGTTTCCAGCTTCTATTTGCAGGCACCCAGCGAAAGGAAGCAAAGCACATCTGGTACTGTTTTTCACCCGCCCTTGTTGCTGGGAAAATTTCTGACTTCAGAGTGTACATTTTGTAATCTACAAAATTTGGGGTTCTATTGTCAGTGATATTAAGAAGCTTTGATCTTCTCTGTGATCGGTTTTTAGGAATTTAAAAACTGCTATCATATCTCCCTCTCCATCCTCTTTTCAGAAAGCTAAATATTTCCAGTTTCTTCAATCTCTCTTCATAAGAGTTAGTTTTTAATCATTTGCTCATGATTGCTACTCTTTTTTGAACTGTTTCAATTTATCTAAGTTTCCTCAAAGTGTGATGCTAGAACTGGTTATAGTTACTTTTGGTGGAGAAGGGGATCTGACCTATACAGAATAAATAAAAACTAACAAGCTTGTTTTTATTTTTATTTCTGTCTTCTAAGGTATTTAAAAGTATTTTCTCTATCTTTTCATCCAAGTTATTAATACAATTTTGGCAAAGTGCAAGACTAAACTTTCTGGCTTTTCAGTTAAGTACTTCATCCAGTTTGATGAAGAACAATTATCACTCTTTGGATGTGATGATAATATGTTCATTTAATTATTATCCTATCCAGCTCATATCTAATGACTGTTACTTATTTATCAGAAAATCATAGAGCAATCTGGAAAGTTATTTATTGATTGATCATCAATTTAGAAGACCGGAGCCCAGAATGACTCTGAGCATTTTATACCAGAATAAATAACTCACTCATATCCCCTAACATGGCCGACTTAGGCTATACAAGAAGCCTGGGAGAATGGTCATGCTTTTGAGGGTGGGTGATAGCTGCATCATTCTTTGGAGGAATAACATTCCAGACAACAATTATTACCCCAGAGAAGGCACATTTCCTGTGTTGCATTGTTTAACCAATTCTGCCAGTTCTTATTAGATGGGAAGTATTTGATGAAGAAAAAAATATTCTCATAATTTCCTAAGGATAACACAATGATAAAATAAGATATTATCAAGACTTGTTCTTGATAAATTCATCTGATACTGTTTTTAAAGTACTTACAAAGTAATCTGTTTGGATCTATTCTAGTGCCTTTTCTCCTTTTTGAAGATTTGACACTTTGTAGGGTTTCACCATTTTCCAAAATTATTAATGGATAATATATCAACTAGGCTACCAGCAAGTTCTTCAGTATACTTCATTGAAAATTTAAATTTATTCCAAATAAATAATTCCTAACCCCTTAGTATGTTCCTAAAAATTTCATATTGAAATCCTCTATCTTCAGCCTGATGTTCAGAGTTGCCTAGTGGAATCATCCCACCTTTTCAGAGATGGGGTGAGAAGTTGATAGCTTTTTTAAAACCATTTGGTGCTTCACTACTTAGCACTTACTGTATATTGATTCCTTTCTCTTCTTTTTATTGTGAATATGTTTAAAGAAATGTATGCTATTCTTATCATCCTTCTCCAATTTCAACTCATTCTGAGCTTTAACATTAACATGTTTGAAAGCCTAAAGCTTATGTGGTTTTTAAGCACATCAAGTCATGGTGATAGCAAATATGGGTAGGTCAGGATTGTTATGTTACAATTAATGGGATGGTCATAAGAACAGATGTTATTTTGCAGCTTGAACTACAAACAAAAGTTTTAGAATAAGCTGGATTGAAAAGTATATGAGCCCTGGTGGTACAATCCTGGTTAGAATTCAGGATTGCAGGCTAATTCTGTTGACTGCCGACTGCCAACAGTTTGGCAGTTCAAGTCTCACCAGCTCAAAGTTGACTCAGTTTTCCATCTTTCTGAGGTCAGTAAAATGAGGACCCAGATAGTTGGGGGATATGCTGGCTCTGTAAACTTCTTAGAGAGGACTGTAAAGTACTGTGAAGTGGTATATAAATCTAAATGCTAATGCTACGCTATATACTCAAACCTTTATGGACCTATAAAAAGATATAAACAAAGACGCAACATCAGTTCAATATCTAACATTATATATGAATATATTTAAAGAAATGTATGCTATTCTTATCATCCTTCTCCAATTTCACCTCATTTAACTTTTTGATACAGTGCTACCTATCAGTACTATTCTTTGGTGACACACACTTTTCCTCCACTCCGTTCTTGTTCTTCCCAGTTAGCAGTGAAGCTGAGTATTGCTAATTTTCCTCCTCTTTTGATATATAATTCCTCTACTTAATGGACTTACTTTTTCATATGATAGAATCGATATTAATAATCTACAACACCTTCCCAAATTAATCACAAATCATTATTTTTGACAAAACAGTAAAGAGAACAGTAACAGGTGGGAGTTACAAGAAGCAGCTGTATGTAACTAGTAGGCAATTGGCCCTAATTCACTTTAGTAGCCTTTTATAAGCTGATCCTCAGTTTATAGAAAATTATTTTTTGCTGTCTATTCCTATTCTTCAGAAGGTGGATGTTCAGTTATGTAAGGTAATATTATTTAGTCAAATTGGATTGTCAAACAGACTTTTCATCACAACTCTATCATCTATCTAGAAAAATATATTTAGATTTTCAAACCATCGGACTATATCCATAGCATCAGATAGGCATGAATATGAGTTTTCTGTGGTCAAATAAGACAAAGTAACCTGTTATGCTGTCAGAAATGGTGCCTATTTGAGAAATAAAAAAAGACAACAAACAATAGCTTTCCTAAAAATCAATCAATTTTTATTCAGTCATTGACTAGTATATAAAACAAGGAAATCATAATTATTTCAGATGAACAATAAAATGTTCTAAAATATATAAAAAGGATTAGAAGAAATACTATGTAATACTGTTTAGCTGTGGTCCAAAAAGTAAAATTATATTGATCTGGAAATAATTACTTAAGATAAAAGTTGAGATGATCAGGATATTTAGTAATGAATGGAGGTAGTTCCTTCTGAGCATCAGCATAGAGGGGACAATACAAAATAATATACATTGCTTCAGTTGTTTCTCCACTGTGAACATAGTCTCTGTTCAAAGGGAATCCTTCAGGATTTCCCTTATGTAATTGTTGTTGTGAGTACACTGAATCTGATGAAAAATAATGCCCCTCTAGATTTTGGAATTGTTATGTGACTATAATATCTAGCAGGTTGGAGAAGAGATGCAGACTAACTTAAGAAGATGTTTATATATCGAATTGGTAAATCTGCTTGGAGTTCTAAATCAATGGCTTACTGTTTGAGATCAGATGAGTGCATGTTCACAGCTCATCATGGTAATGGCTAACCACAAAAAGCCATAAAGTTACAATTTGGCAAGTATTGTCCAACACCAGGAAGACTGAAACTGCATTTTTCCTCATCTAAACCCCTAGAGTAGGAATGTCAAACTGCCGGCCTGTGGGCCGGATGAATCATGGCGAAACTGTACCCACCCCATTGCCGGCAATGGGAAAAAGTCGCGACACATCACGTGACGTTGCGAGTTTGACACCTCTGCCCTAGAGCCTTGATGCATCAAGAAAAAGACATCAACAGTATTGCTTACTTTAACAGGGGTAGAGTTATATAGCTGGGTATCATTAGTATATTTATCCCATAGTTACATAAAACCTTGGTAACCTGCTTCATGTAGATACTAACAGGAGCAGAGAAATTAACAAACCCTATGGCATTGCACAATGTAGGAGCTTTTGCTCCCAACAATACTATTACTTCTATTAGTCATGAAGAAAAGAGAAACATCAGCAAAATACATTCATTTAGGATTCTCTGAAGCTTCTCTATAACCACCTTCTTAAAAACCTTCTCTAAAAATGGAAGATTGGATACTGGGCAAAAATTATCCAGCATAGTTGGGTGTAGCAATAGCTCCTTTGCATTTCAATAACTGATATACCACAGTGAAGATGGAAGGTGCTGGGAAGTTTGCTCTTCTAGTGGCTCAGGATATGAAGAAGAAAATAATTGTTTTGTGCCAATTTTTCTGTAAGTCGATGGAGAGGTAGCAGGTAACTTGGACTGCTACTCATCTACTTATGCAATGTTGAAGCAAAAAACAAGGGAGTAAAGGGCTCATGTCTAATTTCCTAATATTTTCTATGACTGTAACACTTGAAGAAAGGTTTTGTGATTCACAACTTACTTTTATTACTTTGGATTACAATCTTCCAGGATCATTCCAAATGAACCTTCTGATAAGGAAGAACATTGCTCCAAGATAAAAACAGGTTTTTCCATTTTATGCATACCTTAACTTCAGGTATCTGACTTCATCTATTCTTTGGAAAGAGTCTGATAAAAATAACTCAATATTGGTTTCAACATAAATTTTCTTTCATATGGTAGTCTATATTTAAAACTATTCAAGTTATGTTTTAGGAAAAGAAAATTAGAAGTAGGCATACAGAATATCAAATAATAAGGAATAGCTCAGCATATTTTGTATTTTATTTTGTAACTAATTAACCTCTGTGTTTAAACTTCCATTGTACTTATAATAAGAATTCAAAACAACTCTGTTTCCTCTATAAACTTTAGAATGGAACTTATTAATCTATAGTAAACTTATTATAGAATTTATTAATCTATAATAAAAAATCGAACAAATATATTAATCTTTGTCTAAGCTACTTTGCCTGTTGGAATGATCATTATCAAGTTATATTAGATACCCCTGCTAAGAATGTAAAGTATGTGCTTCTAAGGTTTCACATTTCTTCTATATATAGAAAAAATAATTACAATATTTCCTTTAAAAAATCCTTAAATGGGAGTAAGTTTTAAGATAATAGCTTGGTTTACCAATTATTTTGCAAACATAATGAATAACACACAATAGCCCTTCTACATTTCTATACATAGGGTTATCTTTTCTGTTGTTTGGGGATCTCCAGGAACTGATGTTCATATTTCTTGCTAACATCTCGTCAGTATACATTTAAGGATATGCAAGTCACTGAAAAAATGAAATATTTTCCCATTCCTTATGGCATATTTGCTCCAATCACACATTGGGTTAATAATTCTGTTCTGAGCTAATGAAACAAAATCTCATCTGTGAAATAAACCTACACGACATTCAGCTTAAGTTCTTTATGAATATGTTTTCTTTCTCTCTACAGGATATATCCCTCCAGCTTTTCTGGCGACAAAGCAATAATTCCTAGAAAGAATTAGTCCTATTTTGTTGAGTCAATTGGCAACTGATCATATCTTGCAGCACTGCTCTGGCAATTAAAAAGAAAGCTAAAAAATACAAATCAGCACAAAGCCTATATGTTGGTTGGTTGAAATCAGTTCCTTGGAATGGATAGAAGGGGCGTTGTCTTACCTGAACGCCTTTTCTCAGCATGAGGAATGTAGACTCCACGCATGGGTTGATTTAGTCTTCTAGCCCAATCAGACCAAACAATCAAAGTTGCCATGCCTCTGCAGGGTCTGACCATGCCCCAGTTTTCGAAAGGGCGAAGCGAATGATTGTGTGACGAGATGGCTCCGAACTGCTGACACTAACCTAGCTGCTAGTAATAATCAGGGAGGGGGTGGAGTCTACATTCCTCATGCTGAGAAAAGGCGTTCAGGTAAGACAACGCCCCTTCTCCAGCATGTAGAGGAATGTAGACTCCACGCATGGGACATACCAAAGCCCCTATGATCCCACGGGTGGGAAGCAGGTTGGTTAAGTGTCGGTGCTGAAATGGACCACTTGTTGTAAAACCCGACGGCCAAATGCAGCCTCCGCGGAAGCAAACCTGTCGAGTTTGTAGTGGTGAATGAATGGTGAAGGGGACGACCACGTAGCCGCCTTACAGATCTCCTCTATGGACGCCTGAGTCTGCCACGCCGCCGATGTGGAAGTGCGCTGTCAGACGGCTTGGGACAGGTAAAGAGGAAGCCTGGTAAGATTGAGCGATACAGGCCTTGATCCACCTGGCTACAGTAGAGGAGGAAACCTTCTGTCCCTTGGAAGTTGAGTGGAAAGAGACAAACAATGCCTCCGATTTGCGAAAGGAAGCTGTCCTCTTAATGTAATGACGTAATGCCCTACGTACATCTAGGTAATGCCACTGCTTTTCTAGTGTGTGAGAAAGATTGGGACAAAGTTTTGGTAGTACAATGTCCTGAGCCCGGTGAAACAGGGTATTCACCTTGGGAATGAATGAGGGATCTAACCTCAGCACCACTCTGTCCTGATAGAAGGTACACAGGTCTTCCCTAACTGAAAGAGCAGCCAGCTCTGACACTCGTCTCGCCGACGTGATGGCTACTAGGAAAGCCACCTTGTGGGACAAAATGTGAAGAGGACAAGACCTTATAGGTTCAAAGGGAGACCTAGTGAGTGCCTGCAGAACACCAGGTAGTTCCCAAGATGGATACCTGTGTACTACCAGAGGTCTGGTGTTGGAGACTCCTTTCATAAAGGATCGGACCCTGGGATGATGGGACAATGGAGTGGTGTTGGCACAGGTGAACACCGTGGAAAGAGCGGCCACCTGTCTACGCAAGGTGTTGGGCGCTAAGCCTTTATCCACTCCATCCATGAGGTATTCAAGAATCACTGGAATAGTGACAAAAGAGATAGACAAACCCTTACAGGTACACCAGTCACAGAAGTTCTTCCAAGTGGCATCATAGATTCGGTTCGTCGCCGGCCGTCTGGAAGCTTGGATCATAGCTATCACCCTTGAAGAGTAAGATCCGCACATCAGGATGCCAGACGGCTCAGATGCCAGACGGCTAGTTGTAGCCACTGTGGGTTCGGATGGCATATGGCCCCGTGTTAGAATTATCCTCTCTGGAGGGATTTGCCAAGGGGGGGGGCTACGGCAAGGTTCACGAGATCAGCGAACCATGGACGCCTCGACCAATACGGGGCCACAAGGATTAGCTCCGCCTGTTCCTGTAACAGCTTCCTGATGACAGCCGGGATCAAGGGAAGGGGTGGAAATGCATATAGAAGGCCCGCCGGCCAAGGGCTGCGGAGGGCATCTGCTCCTTCCGAACCCTGGGATGGGTACCGAGATAGAAACCGGGGAAGCTGGGTGTTCTTCGGGGATGCAAACAGGTCGACTTTGGGCCGACCGAAACGGTGAGTTATCTCCCGAAAGAGATGGGGATGTAGACGCCACTCTGAATGATCTATCGTAGATCGACTCAGAAAATCTGCCTGGTCGTTTTCCACCCCTGAAATGTGTTCTGCCTTTAGGGACAACAGATTCTGTTCCGCCCATGACCCCAGACACTGGGCCTCGGACATTAGAATCTGTGATCGAGTGCCGCCCTGCCTGTTGACATGGGCCTTTGCCGCCACGTTGTCTGTCAGAACCAGCACGTGGCGGCCCGCCAACTTCTTGTGGAAATGGCGAAGTGCTAGGTGTATGGCTCTGAGCTCTAACCAATTGATATTTTTCTTGAGATCCCGTTGAGACCACCGTCCCTGGGCGAATTGAGATTGCAGATGTGCCCCCCATCCAAACAGACTGGCGGGTCTGTGGTCAAGGTTACCCGAGTCAGTTCTCTGAACAGGGATCCTTTGGACAGTGCTGGGGACAACCACCAGATGAGGGACGTGAGTGTCTGTGGTGGGACTCGCACCCTCTGTGGAAAACATGCTACACCCCGTTTCTGGTAAGGGAGTAGAAACCACTGTAGTTGTCTCGTATGAAGCCTGGCCCAAGGCACTATGGCAATACATGAGACCAGTTTCCCTAACAGCTGTGACAGCAGGAGCAGGGTTACACGTTTCTCCTTGCGCACCCTGGTGACCATCGTACGTATGCTGAGCTGACGCTCCTAAGACAGGAAAACTCGGCACTGGCTGGTGTCTATTATTGCGCCTAGGTGAAGCAAACGGTTTGTTGGGATCAGATGGCTCTTTGGGAAGTTGATCATAAATCCATGATCCTGGAGTGTCTTGATCATCAGTGCCACATCTGAACGGGCGTTCAGTGCCGAGGACGACTGGATTAGGATATCGTCCAAGTAGCACTGAACGCGGAGTGGTACCAACCTGAGCTGTGCGGCGAGAACCGCCAGGATTTTGGTGAAAACCCTTGGAGCTGATGATAGGCTGAATGGCAGGGCCCTGTACTGATAGTGATGGTTGGAATACCTGAATCTGAGGAAACGCCTGTTATTTGGATGTATGGGAACGTGCAGGTAAGCTTCTATCAAATCTATGGATGTAAGAAAATCCCCTGGCCGAATACTGCCCAGAATAGAATGAAGAGTTTGCATCTTGAATTTTTGGTAAATTAGGTACCGATTTAGAGCCTTGAGGTCTAGGATCGCCCTCCATCCTCCTGAGGGTTTTGGTACCACGAACAGGATGGAGTAGAAACCCAGTCCCCATTGATCTGGGGGTACCCGCTCTATTGCCTCTATGCTTAACAGATGACAAATGGCCTCCTCCATGAGACCTTGTTTCACGGGATTTCTGGATAGGGGGCAGGAGATGAAGCGCTGAGGTGGGAGTGTGAGGAACTCCAGAGACAGTCCGTCTCTGATAGTGATTAGAACCCAATTGTCCGTGGTGGTACTTTCCATTTGTGGAAATATAGTGCCAGTCTTCCGCCAATGGGAGGAATCCGCCTCAAGTCACTTTGACTTTCGGAAAGGACGACCTCCTCTGCCGCGAAGGGGCCTCTTAGCCTGGAATTGTGGCTTTGGCTTGTCTCTGTAACCGGACCGGTCCGATGCGCAGTCCGGCCCTGCTTGAAAGGGCCGATACCCGCTCCATGTAGTTCTATCTGAGCCAGACTTGAACGACGGACGCCGGTTGTATGGAGAAAAACGTCTGCCCGTTTTTTTGACAACATGAGCTAGTACTTTCAACTTTTCTTTGTTTTCAGTCAGGTAAGGAGTGAGAGCCTCTCCAAAAAGGCGACCCTTATGATATGGTGCCGCAGCTACTCTCCATTTGTGCCTGGTATCGGCCTTCCAATTTTTTAGCCAGAATAACCGGCGTGCGGCCACGTTGGAAGCTATGGCCCGAGCCGAATATTTGGCCGACTGCAGAGACACATCCGCCATGTATTCCATTGCGGCCCTTAGTTTAGTGACATCCTGGTGAACCCTTACTTCGTCTGGGGATAATCTGGCCTGTAATTCCCTGAGCCAGATTAATGCAATTCTAGCGAAAAAAGAGTTAGATGTTGAGGCTCTTATAGCCCAAGCCGATGCCTGATGGGTCCTTTTGAGGGAAATCTCAGACTTCTTGTCCTCAGCCTTAAGAACCACCAACATATCTCCTGGGATTTTGGTGTCTGACAGTATGGGGGCGAGAGCCTCGTCTACACTCGGAACTTCGAGGACATCGTTGAGGGAAGGGACCGTATCTAAGAGCTTACGATCTAATCCCCCAAGAGCAGAGAAACTTCCAGGAGATCCCCACTGATCCTGAATGGATTTGAGAAACATAGGGGGGCAAGGTATCTGTAGGTTCTTCTTGACCGGTTCCAGAAACAGTGGGTCAGAACTCTGTCCAGAGTCCTGATCGGTCGTCTGTGGTTTCACGGGTTCAATTTTTCCGGTGACATAGGCCTTTTGTAAAAGAGGATAGAAGGAATTTGGATTAAACACCCCTACCATAGGAGTGGCCTCCGCCTGAATGTCTTCCCCGTCTGACCACATGCCTTCTTCCGGAATCTGAGCAGAAAAATCTGATATCTCGCTCCCTTCAGACTGAGGTGGAGAACCGTGATCTGAAATCACATACTCCCTGGGATGCCTAGTTTCCATGGGCGTAGGGGGGGTTGACGGTCCTTGGACCGGAATGGCCCTCCCTGAAGCCGCCATTGCCTGAACCACTGCCTGTGAGATCATGGCTTGGAGCTGGACAGTAAATGAAGGATGTTCGGGGCCCCGAAGACCCGCCGCCATCGGCGTGAAAGATGCTGAAGGGATTTGGGGAGGGACGACTGTAGTAACCTCCCCCTGAGACCCACAAGACACTGAGGAAGGTCCTGGCTCAGCAGCTGGAATTGAATCTTGGACCTGTAATCTCAATTCTCGGTCAAAGAGGGACAGATGGTCCCGTTCGTATCCCAGCAAGGGACCCTGGTCCAGGGTCTGCTCGGGAGACCAAGCCTGTGTAAGAGGGGAAGGTCGATGCTCCCCTGATGTGGATGCAAGAGGAGGTGAGGGGATAAGCTGCGTCTCTCCTGTCTGCCACTGGGCTTTGGAGAATTGTCGCTCCGACACCCCATGTCTGCTATCTGCTTGCTTGTCATCGGCCTTAGAGGTCCGTTTGACCTTGGCCTTGGCTTTTGCAGGTGTATCCAGACTGGATGGCTTGCATTTTATATTTCCACTGGAGGTGGAAGCCTGTGAAACGGTGTTATCCGCCATATTGAAATAAACAATAGGAAATAAACAACAGGTGTTCACCAGGAGATCCCTGGATCTGGCCTGTACTGCAGTAGAAGAAAAGACAGGTTGTCACCAGGAGATCCCTGGATTAGTCCTGTTCTGCAGGAGAAGAAAGGGCAGGTTTTCACCAGGAGATCCCTGGATCGGCCCTTGGTCTGCAGGAGAAAGGAAGGCCACGGCCCACCTGGGTGGTACAGGCCTGCACGAGGGTCTGTGAGGTCCGGCCCACCGTTAAGCACGGAGTCACTACGCGATATAAGCCACGCTACGCTCAGGGGCTGTCCTCCCCATTCAATTTTTCAGGCCCACTGTAATAGAGACAATTTGGCCGAAAAGGTATCAAATTAAAGATAAGTCTATATATGAATATAGTATATATCTTGTTTAATTTAATTCTGTTTTATTTTAATTGATTTTTTTTGACCCTCGTGTCTCACTTAGTGAGGCTAGGACAGTAAGTGCCGACCACTATGCAGACAGCGGAAAACAGGCAAGGCAAGCAGCCATCCAATCTGTTGGCACTGGATATTTAAAAGGTACTGGTAAGTCACAGTCTGGAATATTACCAGATAAAATGGAGTGAGAGCCTCAAGGTATTTTCCCTATGTCCACTAGGCAACCTGAGATGGTGCCTATTAAGCAGCTGAATGAAGATCTAAAGGAATGTAATTAGAACTCCTATTCCCCCCCCCACTTAGGGAGAATCACCAAATAAGTAAGTTACTTCATGACTGAAAAGGCTGTAATTAGGACAAAGCAGTCAATTTAATGTGTGTGATCGGGCGGAGCCCAAAATGGCGGCCGGGACAATCTGATGAGAGATGAAACAAGCTGAGAGAAAAAATCCTCTCCTGCAAGTAATCTGGTAATCAGCTCTTTTAGTCAAACAGTTCACCTGCTGTTTTTTTTTTTGGGGGGGGGGGTAATTTACAGCTGACAATCAACAGTAACAAGGAAGTACTTGAGTAGTGTGAGGATCGAGCCTTCTAGAGCTCAAAATGGCGCCCGCAGGTTGTTTGAATTGGTAACTAACCTAAGAAGATGATTTCAGTTTTCAGCTGAAAATTAGTAATTTAGCTTCGCATTCACAGCGAAGATCTTGGGAGGGGGTGGGGAATGTGGATTGTAATGAGGAGGCAGCAATCTACGATCAGCTGTCTGCCTCTGAAAACTCACGGAGAAGGGATTAAGAGAGAAGAAATGGTGCAGCACTGAGCTCAGAGCTGAACCAATCCCCCCCCCCAAGAAGGAAAAAAAAAAGGATAGAGAAACCACGAATGGCAATAACTACCTTTCTGAATCTAAATTAGGAGCCAAATTCTCATGTGTCTTCAGGGCTGAGACCAAATGAAAACTGGGGCATGGTCAGACCCTGCAGAGGCGTGGCAACTTTGATTGTTTGGTCTGATTGGGCTAGAAGACTAAATCAACCCATGCGTGGAGTCTACATTCCTCTACATGCTGGAGAAATGTGCTATTAGCTCATCTTCTGGATTGTAGGCTCTGATCAGGCTTTCTGCATATATGCTTAACTATTTTAAACAATGTAAACTAAGCAATTCAATCTTTAATTTCTACTAAGCAATTCAATCTTTAATTTCTAAGTACCTTCAATCATTAAAAGTGCAAAATTGGGCATGGCTCAGCTCTATTGTTACAAGACGGAAAAGGAAAAGGAAAAAGAAAAGGGAAAGGCAAGGGGAAGTTTTAAATCCCGAGGGCCATATTCAAGATTTATCAAAGCTTTTTAATAATATTCCAGTGGAAGAAAAAACAGCATTTTTATAAAAACGGGGTCAAAATCATTACAGATTTGGGATGTGAACTACGCAGATATAGACTGAACAGGAAAGGATTGGGACAATTTTGCCCTTCCCCTTTTTTTCCTCTCCCCTACCTCAAATGTTTATGCATGAAGATTCAACAAATCTATTTCTACTCCTCTGTAGCTTTAGTAGTTCTTTATATTTACTATAATTCTTTTAAAGAATGGTGGCTTTAGTATTTCATACAGATGCAAATGTTTAATTTAAACATTAAACACACATTGAAAAACTTGCTACTTGAGAAAATAAAGAAAATATCTTTCTGTAACAATACATTTGAATATATTATGTTAACTCTATAAGTTTTCATATATCATCCTCTACTCAGGATTCAGCTGAAAATTACACAAGCCATAAATTAGCTTTAAACAAGCTTTGAATCAGACAAGCTAGTTTTCAAATTAAAAAGCCGTCAGTATATTACAAGGTGCTGTCATTTTATTACTGCAATCAATTTTATGTGGCCTGAGGTATACGGAAAATGGATTCTCTCTTCATTTGCAAAGGTTTTATCTCCTGCACCAGGCTCTGAACTACTTGACTGCAGTAATGAATTTGAAACCCAAGTTACAAACAAAGACTTTTATAAACAGAAAAGCCAAAAGACAGTGGTTAGTTTGTAGACCACAAAATAGAAAAGCAGTTTCTTGGAAGAAAAGCTGTGAGAAAGTTTTTTTAAAAAAAGTAGATGGAAAAAAAGCCTACTAATGTTTTAATTTTTTGTTGAATTTAATTTAAAATTCCTTTTAAAATGCAGTACAATTTTATAATCTACTCTACTGCTTGTTGTTCTATACATCTGATGTGCCTGAAAAATCTCTTGTGATTGCTATACATTATCACAAAGTCATCCTGATCGAATAAGGGTTTCTTTCTATATGGATTTTAAATGGTAAATGGTAATTTAATCAAAATGGTTTCTAGGTTTGTAAAAATGATTAGGACATAAGTAAATTACAATAACACATGTGTTACATATTCATCAGAAAAATGACCAAGACATATTTTGTATGGCAGCATTAGAACGTTAAGTGATCAAACATTCACTAATCATGGTAATACTGTTATGTGTGTGTGAATCTTAACATGGTCAATCAATTTTTCATTCTGATCACACTGCTACAAGAAAGTGCAAAAAGTGTCAGGTTCAATTTCCAGTATTTCCAATAGACTTTTGAAGAAAAATATTAAACAGATGCTGCAAGATAATGAACACTATACACTATATTGTTTATGGAAGCTTCCTATGAAGAATAAGTAAATATGAATTGGCATGCAGCCATTCTAAATCATATTTAGTTTTGAAAATGCTCATTAATCTTATGAAAGATTATAAAGTAATTTCTCATTCTCATTTTTTTAAAAAAAACACCAGAAAATATTTTCTTATTGACCTAAATTTACATATTTAAATAGTAAAAGTTCAACTGATTATAAGCAATATTTCTAAAGACTGTAATATATTAGGTGAGATTCTGAAGCAAGATAAAACTAGGTGCCTTTGGGCCAGTCACTCTCTCACTCAGTCTACGTAACAAGTTCTTTTTTGTGAGAAAAAAGGAGAAGGAAGTAGTATTAGGTATGATTTCTGTCTTGAGTTGCTTACAAAAATAATAAAGGTATTGTAGATTTAAATAAATAAATAATCAAGCGTATCAAGTATTATGTGTTATAACATATTGAAATTGAATTTTTCATACTTTGCTACCAACCATTTAGAATTTGAAGTACTTGTTGTTTACTAAGAATCATTTCTTCATCCAGTCTCAGGTAAAGATTGCTTCATTATCCCATATGATTTCTCAAGTAGCTGTACAGAAAGGTGGAATAATGTAAAATAATATTTTGTAAACTTTTATAACTGGCTACAAAAGTTCATCTGGGGAGAAAACAGTACAAACTCTAAATCTCTTCATTCAGCAATATTCTTTAGTTATCACACTTATTTGTATCTGTAATATTAAGAATAAAGATGTGTTGCAAATAAATGCTGTCCTTGTAAAAAGATCCTACAAAACATGTTGCATATACACATGTGCTGAGACTTGTAAATAAGGAGGCTTGCCCTATGGGATTGAAAAGTGTCAGGAATAAGACAAAACAGATGATGCTCTGTATTTGATTGAATGCAAATTAGCTGAGTGTTCCAAAATCATTTCTTGCAAGCTGCTAATACAGATGCAATTATTAATATAGTGGAAGCTAAATGCAAAGAATATTTTATTATATCTAAGTCAGCAGTAGTATTAAAATGGATCTCTTTATTAAAAAAAGGAATGAACACTCCAGCTACCATTTTAGTAGCAAAATTAATCAGCAATCTTTTGCTGAGCTCACAGTAACTGAAAGGTCAAAAGTAGTTCTGGTATGAAAGCTGGAAAATTCTTCAGTCTTCATAAATTAAAGACACTGAAAATTATGTAGAATATTACTTTGCTAAATTCACTGGAAATTTTTTAAGATAGATTTCTCATGTGTGTGTGTGTGTGTGTGTGTGTGTGTGTGTGTGTGTGAGAGAGAGAGAGAGAGAGAGAGAGAGAGAGAGAGACACAGACAAGACAAGACTAGACTAGACTAGACTAGACTAGACTAGACTAGACTATTATTTCACATACTTTGACTCTTCAAGGGTACTTTTATATTCCAAATACAAAACAGAAACTATGCTCTGATAATAGCCAATTCTGTAAATCTTACAGCCTGATATAATCCTATAATACCAAAACATTGCAATTCATCTCAGGATACTTATGTTTCATCTGAGCCATCTAAAATACTACAAAAATACATGGAACAACCATAACTGGATGCTTTGGACTCTACAACTAAAACAAAAATGTTCTAGTTCAGGCACGTCAAACTCGTGATGTAATGTGACGTCACACAACGTATTGGGATTTTTTCCCCCATTGCTGGCAATGGGGTGGGTGCAGATTCGGCGTGACGCATCCGGCCCATGGGCCGGCAGTTTGACATGCCTGTTCTAGTTAAAACAGCAGATGGAAAAGATTCTAGAATTTTTCTTGCATGCAAGACTGGACAGAAATCATAAAGAAGTGGCAATGTCTTCAAGAGTTATAGACTCTTTACTAATTTACTAAGAATTCCAAACTTTCTCTTTGCTTCTATCACTGAATAAATAAATCTTTGCTAGCTTCTCTGCTGCCTATAATTTCTCACATTTGTTACTTTAGCATATATACTCAATTCTTAACAAAATTAGCAGTTCTGATAGTCCCAGTTGCGGTTGTTAAAAAAAAAATCCATGGTCATTACGCGGGACTTCACGTGAGGCTGACTTGTGACTTGTGACTTTCTACTGACTTTTGACTTGGCTTGTTGGAAGCCAATTGGAAAGATCATAAATGGTGATACTGTGGACGTTGCAACTGTCCTAAATGTGTGATAGTTGCACAGGACTTGAAACCTGATCACATAACCATTAGTCATAATTGCAATGTCATTTTTTTTAGCACTTCTACAACTCTGGTTATTAAATTTTACTGATTTGCCTCTTTATTTGAAAATGTAAATTATTTTCATTCATTTCTTCTGCTACCCCCCAGCCTCTTGGGACATTTTTCATAAATATCAGTACTATGAATGTTTAAATGGCCCTAGATAGTACACAATCTCCATTTCTGTTATAAAATACTTTTGATAGAAACTGGGTTAAAATTATTACAGAGAAATAGCTAAACCTTTAAACTCTAATATACCTTCTTGTGGAACCTCTATCAAAATGTGTTGACAGCTTTTCTTCAGCATTCTAGCAAGGCAAATATTCCTTCCAAAACATCTAGTTCTTCTTGCCTCTTCTATTTTTTTCTCAAGCATCCTATAATTTCTCAGGATATACACACCTGGTATTTTGGGATGGAATGGGGAGGAGACTATTTTAAGGCTAATTCCCCCTCCCCCCAAAAAACCCATTTAAAAATGATTCTGCTATTCTGAGATTATCACATAATTCATATCTTCCTCTATACAATGGAAATAATATCTGGATGAAAAATGGATATACTTGTATGTTATTTCTAAAAGATTTTGTCACAACTGCTTATTTTTAGATCTCTTCTGCCGTTGGTTATCTGTTCAATGTATAAATAATGAATGTTCAACATTTACAGTCCAAAGTTAATTAAAATAATTGAAATTTGAACTCTAACCTAAACTACTTATTTAAAAATATATTGTTGAAGTTTAGCAAAATAATTATTCTATTATTTCATCTATATATGCTCGTAAACATTTCTTTGGTAAAGCACTTGTTAAGTTAATTTGAAGTTTTATTTTAAAAAGAGCTTTAAATTAATAACATTTAAGAGATGTTACTGTTAGTAAATTAGTATCATCTAACAGAGGAATACAATAAGACAACCACAGCAAATGTAGGTAATTCTCGTGTAACATCCATTCATTCAGCAACCATTCAAAGCTATAATGCTGCTGAATGAATGGAGCCTGAAATTCTAGCTATTGTAGCACCTGCAGTCATGTGAACAAAATCAGGCACTTGTTGCAGTGTTCCATGGTGACATGTTTGCTATTTCCAAATTTCCATGAGAGCTTCCAACAAGCAAAGTCAATGAGGAGGTGGCAGGGAAGATCATGAGTCACTTGGGTAAGTTTTCTCCTAGCCAGTCTGTGCTTGCGTGCATGACATCTGCCTTTTCCTGTTTGCTCACACAGTGCTCGCATTGTATTCTCTTCCCCCCCTTTGCTTTCACTCACTCACTCACACAAACACTGCATCCCCATTCCCTTGACCTTCTTGCTCATGCCCCATTCCACAGTGCCCATTCTCCAATTCATGTATAATTCTTTTGGTATTTGGCCCTGCGCTGGGCCTTTCAGGACCTCCCTCCCTGTGAAAACTCCTTACCTGCTTCCTGTTAAACTACAGATAGTTTTTGACTTACAGCCACAATTAAGCGCAAAGTTTCTGCTAATCAAGATAGCTGTTAACTGAATGTAATCCCATTTATGACCTTTCTTGACACAGTTGTTAAGTGAAACATTGCACTTGTTAAGTTAGTAATACACCTGTTAAGTGAATCTGGTTTCCCATTGACTCTGCTCATCAGAAGTTGCAAAATGTGATCACATGACCCCAGGACACTGCAAATGTCATAAAAACATGTCAGTTGCCAAACATCTGAATTTTGATCATGTGACCATGGGGATGCAGCCACAATTATAAAGGTGAAAAACAATCAATGCAACACCATTGTAACTTTGAATAATCACTAAATGAATGGCTGTAAGTCAAAAACTACTAGCATATCTGCTTTCTGTTTTACAACCTGTAGTTCTCGAAATTATGACCTAGACTGTTTGGAGTGCAGTCGCTAAGTGATATGGTGATATGGTGCTTTATAACTACATTGGTTAGCAATAGCAATCCTTGTCCCAATTGCCATCATAATTTGAGGACTACCTTTATAGTGTTTGATAGTTCTTGTTGCATATAAAGTTTTCAAGGCAAAAGATTCAAAGTACACAAAACTCCACATAACACTCAATGGAGTTTGTAAATCTCTGAACCACATAATCACTTTCATCTTTTATGAAAGATACATTTAGGGATAAGCTAAGATATAAATTGCTCCCAGATTTTAACAATGCTCCCAGATTTTTCTACATTTAGAAAATATATTTTTAAACCAGCTACAAAGTCAAAAAATATTTGTGTAACTTGGGAGAGTTAATTATAACAAACTTAAAACTATACCTATGTGTAAACTGTATGGAAAGAAATCATTTTTAGCAGCAAAAATAGTAAAAATCAAGTAATTGGTTCTTTTTCCTTCTGCATATAAATAACACCTGATTGTTCAAATCAGACATCTCCTTTTATTTTCTGTGGTTTTTATTCATAAATGCAATGCCAAAATTACATTAATATTTGATTTTCCTGTCAAAAATAAAAAATGAACTTATGTTCACCACTGTAAAAAAAATTCTAAATAAATAAGAATTTCACTGCTATGCTCCAATAAACATTCTAATATACACTTTCATCCTATTAGTCTTTTGCAACAATGTAAATATAATAAATAGACAAGCACAAGCTCTTCAGTGTACTGTTCTGACTGAATAAAAAAAGGGTAATTTGATTTAAATAATTCAATGAGGCATTCAAATAAGAATAAAAATTATGATCTTCTTAGAAGTCATTCACATTCAGAAAATGAACTTTACAAATTTTCTTAGGCAGAGACTGCAAAAGCTATTGCACTGTTAAAAAAAAATAACTACAGTACTGAGTGAAGTAAGCAAGTGAATATGGCAGAGTTACATTTCAGAATATGATAAGACCCAAGTTCTATGTTTACCAGTTGAATTCATGGAGACATGAGTATAAATGGACTATTAGACAATCAAGTTTTTTCACTGAACAAAGGTAATCTTGGATTTTATATATATTTAATACATATGAATTATGTTTTCATTAAATTCCTATCCAATCACGAAGTATTTTTTCTGCCATTATCATTCTACTTTTATCTTCTGTAAAATGATAATTTAAACATATATTTCAATTTTCCAAAATTAGTAGCCAATTTTCTTTTACAATTATATGGCACAATTTTGTAATTATGCTGTGTGAGCTCTTGGCACATGTAGCAGAATAGGATACAAATAAATAATTAGTACCATAGCTAGTGTACCAGTAGAGGAATTTTTTTTTGTTGATATTGAAGCATCTCCAGTTTTTGAAAAAATTGAACAAAAGTAGTAGTAGATCTGCATTAACTATAATACATTAACTGCATGATTAGGAAATATATATGGAATATTACTTTCCCATTCTGGAGCTTTGAAAATAAACTACGCTGTAATTTATGCCATAATTTTTTCTTCCTGCATAGCCTGCTATACAAATAATTAAAAAGCAGGAAAATACAATAAAAACAAAATATTAATAAGGAAATGATATAAGCACAGAAATTAATTGTTAGGCATGCAGCAGCATATAGATAGATTAAAAAGATATTTTAAAAATTATATTAATACATACTATATTTTAGGCCGTAAGTGATTATTGTTTGTTGCATACTTTCAAGGGCTACTTTTTTGGAAATTATCAAATTGTCCATTTTCTCTCATATTTGATTACCAAAACCCTACATTTTAAATAATCATTAATGGCATTTATTTTTTCGTAAGCATTATATTTTGTAGCAATTAGCAGTACATGAGGAAGTTTCTGACGAGAAAGAGCCATATCTATTTTTTTAATAATGTTATTCTTAAAATTAATTTGAGTTCTTGTAATAAAGTAAATAATAACCAAACTTTGCAATGACAGAATGTTAATAGAAAGAAATTGCACAACAATTTGTAGGTAAACTTGTTTATAAATCTATTTCCAGCATAAGGAATCTTAAACAAATCAGTTAACCTAAAAAGGTGAATTCAAATGTACTTTTTAGCTATCAAACATAACATATAAAGGTGCTGTGACTAAGAGAACATTGGTTTGACTTTCCAAACTATAGAAGATTATTGGTCATATAGGATTATATACAGATAACTCTTATGAATTAATCCAGGATAAGAATGTTTATGCCCTATTGAAATACTAACAATAAATATGTGGAATAGAAATATAGAAATAACTGGTACATTAGAAAATAGAGAGCTAGAGTGTGCCAATTAATAATTTGTGCACAAGACAAAAACTTTGGAAAAAGCAACTCATATGGGAAGATGGTTTGAACTATGGTCTATCTTCTATTGCTAAATGAGAAAATAAGGTCATGTTAATTAGAAATGTACATTTTTAAAATATATTTTGAATATATACATGATATGAACATATTAGCAACCCTAGACTGAAAAAGTAATGAGGACTAGTGAACTCTCTATTCAAATTCAAAGGTGTTTGCAGTAGGGTAAACTGATATCAGGCAACAGTGTGGATTCAGCAGTATTTAAGAAGATGCCATTTATTTGACATAACTGTCCCACTCTTCTAATGCAATTGTTTAATTAAACTAGGTAGGGAATTCAAATCTAAATCTCCATTCAACCATATAACCGTCTGAGCGCTGTTGGTCTTAACACTATCTCTCTTCGGCTACTTAGTTCACAGAACGATGGTTATAATACTGGTGAGGAGGATTATATAACATTCCTGAAATTTCTTGGGGAAAAAGTAGGACATAATATTTGAAAATTAATATGATACCTAATATAGTAGTAAGATGCTCAGTGCTTGGATTTGAAGACTTTAGTATCAAAGCCATAACACCTGACACCAATCTGCTTGAGGCACATTTTACTTTAATTCCATTGCCTTGTATTTGAAAGCTATATCTTCAGCACAGGAAGTAGCTTTCCATTATGCCAGTGGCTTAAAGAGACACATATGGAAAATTAATTGTTATACACACCGAAATGCTTATGATCTTCCTTTTAAAAATAAGAGCTTCTTTTCACAGGCCAGGATATAAAAGTTATTTTGTAATATTAGGTTGTACACTTCCTAAAATCTACTTTTCAGACAAATGGTAAAATTGCTGTTGCTTGGGGAGGAACAAGAATGTATGAATTATATTTTAAAGCAAATATGGCAATTCTTTGTTTCAAACCTACATAACATTTCTGAACCCTTTTTATGCAAAACAAAGGCAGCACCTAACAAAGTTATGAATTATGAAGAATTATTCTAAAATTTGTTTTATTTGGTATTCATTATCTACCACTGGTTGTTAATTAAATTATATGGCTCTCAATTACAAAAAATTGGAATGTCTGTTCATTTATTTTCATTACTATTCTTACTGGCAAATATGATTTTGTCATCCACACAGCAAATATTCTTGCATAGTATGGAATGTGTTTCCAACACAGTGATACAATGAATGTGCTTCTCAGCAGTTTACCCACTCAAGCTATTCATGTTACAATTCTTAGGACTTCACTCAAGGACAAACTTGTCTGGTGCAGATTTTGCTCCGTCTGGTATATTTCATTTTCTAAATGCAGTAGCTGATTAAATGTGATCAGAGCAAAGAGCAGTAACAAATCTACATTAGCAAGAAGAAATAATAAAAGTAATATTTCCAAGGCAATAGTCATTTGATACACTCAAGTAGATGGTCTATAGTGTGCAGAGTTTAAGCAATTTAGCATCTTTTGGGAAAGCCAAAAACATCATGGATATCCTGCAGAATTCATTATCAAAATGATTTTTCTGACTAGGAAAGGTTGGCAAATTCAGCTATAGTTTTTTTTGCTAAATATAGTTTATCACATAAAATCTTTCATATTCTAACATGACAGCTTGACAATTCTCCAGTAAAAAGATGAGCATCCAATTTGAAACTATAACACTGTGAGAATCACTGTGGTCCATTTTTCAAGACAGTGTTTAGTGCTATTGATATTAGATCCAAGGCTCCAGGCTAGAAACCAGGAGCCTGTGAGTTTTAGTCTCGTCTTAGGCATAAAAGCCAGTCGGGTGACCTTGGATGAATAACTTTCTTTCAGTCAACCTACCACATAAGATTGTTGTGGGAAAATAAGAGGAGGAAAGAGTATTAGTATGTTTGCCTCCTTGAGTTATGTATACAAATAATAAAGACAGGATATAAATAAATAAAAATAAATGTTATAATAGGGGTGCCTGTTTCTACTAGAATGTATGTCAACATAACTTTTTTTGAGGACAATACTTAAGTGACTATTAATGCGTCTGCATATTATGTTCCAAGCATCATCAATATAAATAACTTAGAAGTTTGATAAAATCAGGCAGCAATTCACTAAGTTTGACTGGACACTTAATATTAAATATTTAAGTACCCTTTTTTTTTCAAGTTGCTCCATTTCCAATCCTGCACTCTTAATCATTTCTCATAACCAAATATTCTGATTGAATAACTAGGAATTATAGTCCAAAGCATATCAAAGAATCAAGCTGCTAATGGCTGTTTTGATGTTTTTTCAAAGGCATGGATTTAATTTTTTTATTTATTTAAGAATATTTGTATGGCTGCCAACTCATTCTCAGTGATTCTGGATAGCTTACAAAATAAGTTCCATATTAGTACTTCAAGCTGCTATTAGTGCTTAATCTGGAAAGCAGAAATATTCTTAAATATTTTAAGAGCAATTATGAAGAAAATGGACTAGACTTGTTCTCTATTGCTCCAAAGGGAAGTACAGAAATCAACTTGTAAGGAAACAGGATTAATTTCTGAAAATGATGGAACTAAGAACTGTGTAACTATAGGACATATTTACTTGGAAGGGATAGGCTTTCCTTACTTCTACTAAGAAAGACTAAATATCATCTATAATGAATGTCTGAGTTATATTGCAAATCATGTATTCAGTAAGTGGTAGATGCTCTCTAATGTCTTTTCAAATTCTTTAGTTATATGGTCTATGTGTTTAAAAAGAAAACTTCCCCTCCAAATGCAAGAACTTGTACAGCAAGTTCTTTCAATACATGGTATGGAGGAGCACAAAGTTGACAAAGCATGATGAATGGTAAAACAATGCTGCCAAAACATTCACATGAACCTTGATGAAAGCAGCATCGTGAATTAGCCCAAAAGTAACAGGAGCAGTTCAGACATGAAAACATGCACCTTCTGTGTGAAGGGAATTATGTCCATTTGAAAAAGTTAGGGCCATTCTTCCAAGCAGATTGGGGATTTAAATTTGGTTCAATGATGGAACCTGACAAGTTAATGAGATCTAAGTGGTTTGTCAAAAGAGAGAAATTCAGCCATTGTTGGTACATACATACATTAGTTTACCCATGAATCTCAAATTATTTCTTGAAAAGTTAAAGTACCTTTTTGAGGACTTACTCTATCTTAAAGCCAAAAGGGCTTTTGTCCACAAATCTAAGGATTTACTTAACTATAGCCAGCACAAACTTGTGTTCACTTTTGCCTCGAGTTAACTCCTTTTTTAAGTTCTTTGCAACATGCTTCTTTTTTGGCAGAAATTATTGCTGTGCTTAATACAATCTATGGTTTTGGCTTTACATTGCAATGCACATACAATTATTTTGTTGGTCTGCATTCCATAAAATATAAATGCAATTGTAATGCAAAATTATTAGCAGTATTATCAATGTATATATGCCAACAATCACTGTTATTTAAATTAGAAAATAAATATCTAATTTTACACGTTTAACAATTACCTGATACTTGTTTTTCATTCCATCCACTTCACCCTATATTTAACACATAAGGTATTTTGCAGTTAGTAGAAATGAAAAGTACAGGGCAAGATCCAGTTAAGCATTAGTTTCAAGGGAGAGAGGCAAGCCCACACTTCACAGATGGCAGGCAAATCCAAGTTCTTAAAACTGAAAAGTCCTTGACAAATATTAGGAACAAAATGAATGCATTGCCTTTATATTCTGTAGCAAGTACTCTTATTCATTAAAGACAGAGTATGCTGCTTTGGAAAACAATTTGGAAAAAAAAGAAAAGAAACCAAGGAGTATCTGAATATTAGTTTCAAACATACTCTCCTAAACCTAAATTATAATTAGATGTTGTAGTAGTACTTGGTTGTCCTATGTGGAAAAAGCAAATTGCTTTCAGTAAGGAATGTGAAGCATGATAAAGTCTAAAGAAATCTTTCTTCTTTCTCCTATTTTAATTAGCCTAAGTACTATCTAAGAAACCCATTTTCATCTTTAGGCAAGAAGTATATAACTTTGTTTCTGCTCGCAAAAGCCTTTGTGCAAGATATCACATATTGTTTTCACAAGTGAGTATGAATTCATTACACTGTAACTAACACTGATTGCTCAGGTAATATTTACATAAGTGAAATCTGGAAATCTCTAGGAAAACAAATCACCTGTTCTAGATTATGCATTATGCAACACTAGATAAATAACTACTAAAAACTGTTGTTTTAAGAAGATGGCTGAGCAAAATCAACTTATGTAGTTGGTCCTGTCAATGGCTATAATATTTTTGACAGAAATTATACTGAGAGTCCTGGATTTATATGTGAAAATTTGTCCTATTGCAGCTTTAAAATAAAGATTCTATTCTAGCAGACTATCTTCTTGGAGACTTTTTTCTATTTCAAAAAACATTGAAACACTGAAATTGAAATTTTATTATGCATCATCACACTAATATTAACTCTGAGTGACCAAATAGACAGATCTTCTCCAAGTTAATCTATCCCCAATCTGGCCCTTCAGGTCCTCAAATGGTGCACCCATCATCATGCAATTGAGTTATTCTAGATTAGTGAAACTAAAATGTGAAACAATTAAAGTTTATATTTCATTTTCTTCACCCCCAGATTCTATTGCCTTCTACAATAACCTGTTTGAATAACAGTCTTCAAAAGTAGATATTCAAATAATATATTTTTAAAATTATTAAGAAAATCTTCCAGCAGAAGCAATGTTGGCTTTTTAATTAATATTATTGCCTTGTAACAGTGATGTTCATATATGCACTATTTCTAAAGCATTTTCCATTTTTTAACTTTTTCTATAAAAAGGAATATTTTAAATAAATCAGCACAACAATGTTTGTTCAACAGCCACTTTTAGTGACAGAAAAGGTAAAAATCACTTGTGCCCCATATTACCAAATCTTCATTGATTTGCAAAATGGAATGATGCTACTTTTTTTTATAGCAGGCTTTACATACAGCCTCAATCCTTTTCCATATTTTTCTCAAGCCATCCGATTTCAAATTAGACAAAGACATTAATATTATGGTTCAACATATTCAAGTCAAGGCAAGCAACAAAAGAAGTCAGGAGATCTTCAGCAATGCGTACAACTGGCACAACATAGAATGATTAATCAATTTTCAGGGCTACTTAAAATTGAGAATAAGGATATTTGGGTGAAATAGCTGTTCTGTCCTTAATAGCTCAAAGGTCTCCTTATGCACTTTTATTCTTATCCCTGTGCAAGAATTAGATGACTCTGGAACTAAAATAATTACACCTTTATGCTCTAATAGTGGTTGTATGCCACTAATTTACTTTGCTGCAAGGGGAACAATTTTGTTTTTAGCAAATTAAGTGAGTTACAATCTCTTAATTCAAAAAGAATAAAAGATTTATAATTCTTTACGGGTTACTTTACATTCCAAAGCATTATATTCCATTACTTATTCTTATAGTCAAAATGTGATTCCAAGACTGATTCCACAAATTCTGATCACTGCTTCGAAGTAAGTTTATGAAATAACACAAAGTTATTAAAAAACTAGATTATAAAGTAGCAAATAATTTATATCAATGGACTTCTATCCAGCGGCTTATTTTTTTCTCAAAATGGTAGACCCTTTTACAGATCTCTCTATTAATAGTAATTATTTTTAAGTAATATAGATTTTCTCTTTCAATATCATGTCTTTCAAGAAGTGAGCAAGAAGGTGATTTACTTAAAATAAAGCTTGTCTGTATAAGTTGTATAACATATTGTGAAAAAAAGAAAGTTGATTGTTTTAACTGTATTTACTAAATTTAAATACAATTTCAATTAGTGCACCAACTGCAGCCCTTCCTGGATCAGGATTCCCTATGCTCAGTCACTCAAGCCCTGGAAGTGGTTGCTGGATAAAGTAGCTGATTCCACCTTCCCCTGTACTTCCTGCTCTCCCTTTGCTCATCTTTCATATTATTTTACTTCCACTGTTTATTTTTGTTTTATTTGTTTATTGTTATTTTTTATATTTTTTATCATTTTTTTCTGTTTTATTGTTGTAAACTTCCCAGAGAGATGGGTGGCAAATAAATTTAACTAATAAATAAATAAACAATAAAACATGTTCCCTAACTGAATGAATACATTAATTTATCAAGATATAAACAATAAATGAATGTTTGCATTGTGAACACAGATTATACAAGAATTAGTACTACCACTACAAAATACAAGCACCTTTATGTTTTTATGAAAGAACTAATAGCATGAAGTTTCTGATATATATTAATTGAATTATTACATACAATGTATATAATATTTTTATAGCCATATTATTCTTCAAGTAATATAATTACTATTTGATTTATTTTATAGTTTACATTAGATTGATGGCTTTCATAGTAGGTGGAGGGTGGAGTTGGGCCGACTGAATGGAGCTCAGCATTTACTGGCTGGATACCCTTCCTGATGCCTACATGGAGTTTGCAGCAGATATTTTTTCTTTGTGCCCTAATAGAGAAACATCTGCCATTGCCTACGATTGAAATCTCAACCTTCCAACTGGGAGGTGAGCATCTTCACCTCTAGGCCACCGCATTGCTCACTAATATTCTCTTATAATTTTCATTTGGAATGATCCTTTCTGACTCTGATTTCACTGGTAGAAGAACACTATATGCAAAAACTAAGCTAAAAAGGAAGTACTGCTATTTCACTGTTTGAACATATACATGAAACCTCTGAAGTGTATAGAAAATAAGATTTAATGATGGAAAGAAAAGGTGGTGTTGACAAATTGGCTGTGCAATTCTTATAATTGTTATAAATAAAGAATATCAACTGGGACAGATTTACTTACTTTTCCATTTCCAATGGATCTCTCTCATGCATGGTCCAGCAGTATGTCTGTGTTTGTATGAGCTATGTATATATAAGTTAATATTAAGGCACCAACTAAGAATTCCAATGTGCTAAAAGATTCTCTCTCACAGAGAAATGTGGAGTAGAAAGGAGAAATCATGCACTAATTAAATTAGATGGGAAAACACAGCCATGAGATGGACTGCTACAGACATCCCATCCCACAGCTGGGTTTTATGCAGGTAATAAAACTGTTTGCAACTGATAAAGGTATTTTCTGGACTAAGTGAAAAAAATGGGAAAACCTGGAAGCATTCATTAGATAATTAACACTTGCAGTGTACAAACATACTAAAAGACTACATTTTATCACAAACAAGATTATCACAACAAGAGGTAAGATTGCTATATATCAAAGATCTGGTTTTTAAGTTAACATTGCTGGCAAGCAAACAACATTAATAAATTATTCTTATTCATGCTGCTTTCTCCAAGCAGTTTTAGTTTGAAATATTGTCTAGAATACTGTAGCCATTTTTAGTTCGCTCAGAAACCAGACTTCATTTAAATATTTTTCAATGTTCAGAATCTGTGTGTCTATCAAAGAACAGGTTAAAAGAGTTATGAAGATGACTTTTGTGCAGTTGAAGCTATACCCCTCTTTTATGAACATAAAAAAGTGTTGAAGATTTAATTGTGTGGCTACAGATACATCTTGATCTTTTTGACCTTCTGCAAATACATTTGTTCTAAAACCAATGGATGGTTATAAAGATCCTATACCAAAAGAACTATACATTTAACAAAAGAAAATTAATAACATTCACTGCATAACTTATTCTTCCATTTGAAAAGAAAATTATAACCTTATTTTGCTTACAATAGTCTATTTCAGAATTCATATAAATTATACAAAGACTAAATCATCTAATCTTTATAAGTGAATACATGTATCAAAAGAATTAAGCAGTCAGCAATAATGCACTGTATTTGTATATATTTTTAATTTCATTTTAAATGCATCTATTAAACCAATATACAGAATATAGGCCTCTTATAATTAGCAATATAGTATGATTCAAGAATTATCACAGACATTCACCATTAAACTCTTCAAAAGTATAGAACATTCTTCAATTAAGTGACTGAGAATATAACATAGTGACTTGAATAATTGTGAATATCATTCTATGCTTTGCAAAAAAACCAGCAGCATGAAGTTTCTCTTTCAATGCTATAGTAGGAACTGAATATGAGCTTTTCTGAAATATTTTTGAAAATCTTATCTGCATTTTTATAAGACTCATTAACTTACTTTGGATGAGGAAGAATCACATTCTTGACAAATCCACCCATAGCCAGTTTGCTTTGGAGATTTTTTCAAGGGAGGATCCAAACAACCAAAATGATAGCATAATCTGCATTCATCACATCTGCATTAGAAATGAAATGCTTATTTTATGCTCTAGAGAATCCACAGAAATAAATCATGAACGCAGAAGAAATCTTACAATATTAGGAAATATAAATACAATAGTGGCCAAAATTGTGGAAACCTTTTAGGAAAAATGTACATTTGAGGTTTGATGGTTAATAACACCACTTTCTTTTGGAATAGTGCATGGAAAGATAATTTAATCAAGAATGTAATGCAATAACCTTTATGAAGGATTTGCTATTAGAATAGCAGTTATAAAGAAGAAAAATGAAACACATAGAAAAAACAAGATATACAAAAATTATCACCATAGAAAAAACGAGACATACAAAAATTATCACTATGTCAGTTAATACTTAGTTGGGTAACCTTTAGCATGAATTACGGCCTTACAACATCTTCCTATGGAGTGAACCAAATCCTTTAGTTGTGCAGCTGTTATAATGTGAAACCAAGATTGAATGATTGCTTCTATTAAGTGGGTTTTATTGCTGGGTCGCTTCTGACTAACAAGTTTCTTTAGTCGGTTCCATAGATTTTCAATTGGGTTAAGGTCTGGGCTATTCCCTGGCCATTCCAGCAGTGGAATATAATTATCTTGAAACCACTTTTTGCACACAGCAGCAACATGACATGGAGCTGAATCCTGTTGAAATATCAATGCTTCATTGTCTTGGAAAAGATCATGTGCGGAAGGCATCAGTTTGGGCTCAAATATTTCATTAATGTATTTTTGGTCATTTATATTCCCATTAATCACACAAATTCTGCCCATACCTTTTGATGTCATACAACCCCAGATCATAACACTGATTGGGTGTTTCACGGTACATGTAATGCAATCAGGATGCAAATCTTCTCCGATTCTTCTCCTTACGTATTTTATGCCTTCACTACCAAACAGGGAGATCTTGGTCTTATCACTCCAAATAACACTGTTCTATTGTTCTTCTGTCCAGGTAACATGGGTTTTAGCCCAGTTTAGTCTTTTCAACCTTTGAGAGATAAAAGTGGCTTTTTTCGTGGAATTCTAGATTTTAGGCCAAATTTCTGCAGTCTGCACCGAACAGTCCTTGGACTCAACTTCACATTGCATTGCGCCATTTCATCTTGTATACACCCAGATGATTTTCTTCTGTTATGTAGGCCCAGTCTCTTAATTCTTCTATCATCACTTGCTGTTGTGCACCTTTTCCTTCCTTTACCAGTATGGTTTTGTAGTGACTGAGTCTCTTTATACCTCTTCAAAAACTTAGAAATGCCACCTTTGGTTAAGTTTTCACCAATTTTTCTTCTAATTTCTTTATAACTGTAGCTTTGTTCACTTAATAATACCATTTTACATCGCTTTCTGGGCAACCAGTCAATTCTTTGCACCATTTCTTTAATTTTATTACATTTTACAAGCTCACTAAATGAAAGAACACAAAAAAACCCAATCAACTTGATAGCAATCACATAACAAACTGACAAATGTCCTCCTCTCAGCTTCAATACATGACATCAATAATTGAATCCTACTGTGATCTGATTGGCTCATTGCCAAAAAAAGATGACACCTGATTGGCTCTCTAAACACTCATGCTCATTGGCTACAATCAGATGAAGGAAAGTTACCTGATATCAACCTAAGCAAGTTGTGCTTCCTTTTTCTGGTTATTTGGCTATAACTTTTCATAGAATACAGATAATTGAACAAACTTTGTTGCATTACATTCTTGATTACATTATCTTTCCATTGATGTATAAGTGTATGGTACTACTCCAAACAAAAGTGGTATTATTAGCCATCAAACCTCAAATGTACACTTTTCCCAAAAGGTTTCCACAATTTTGGCCACTGCTGTAATTACATACTACTATAGGTTAACAATATATCCAACCAATGATGGAGCTTCATATGGACACTAGCACCCCTAGAACTCCTGAACTGATAGCTAACTTGTCAGATAATGTTTATGTATTAGTATTACAATAGCAATTTTTGCTAACATCTCAATTACATTGTAGAAATAAAGAGCAGGTATCAAGAGAACCCCACTTTTAATAGAACTCTTTCTCTTCAGGAAACTGGGAATGGGAGTGGTTTATATCTCTCCTTATATACTCTTTGTACCTGCAATACCCATTCTCTACACTGTTTGTACAGAACAAGAGGAGAAAGCGTAGATATCCAGTCGTGCTAGATGTTTCTATTCATGCAATTTTATATTCCATTTACAGCCTGATTAAACAAACAAATATGCAGCTTTCATCATATGAAAAAGAATGTGTAAACATCTCTTCAGTGAATGAAAACAAATGCATATAGAATTTTGGATAAAGAATATATTTTCAATAATCAACTTTCTTATTTGGTATAAAAGTTTTGAAAATATTTTGATAGAGGATGCATGACAGATTCATGCTTGTTCATCATATGAATTGTTTTTTCCCCTTCATTAACATCTTTTGGTCACACATTAACAAATCAGTTTGAATAACGTGCATTATATCACCTACATGTATTGTGATTTCTTGTAAGAAATTTGGCCATTTCCTGCTTCAAATATAATAAGAAACAACCAGTATTAGGTCCACAAACTCTATTTGTTTGTCTTTAGACTGCATTGCTGAGAAGTGTATACATAATGTGTAAGAAGAATTGCAACTAATAGTGGTCAAATTCCAGGGAACAGGACATCAGATGAATTTCTTTAATGGCTTCCTGTCTTCCTACCCTCCAATCCCATTAAAGTTTTAGCTATTAGTATGGTACATTAAACGAATATTTTAACACAGAGAATACACAAATAAAGCATTTATGTGACACACGTTAAATTATATAGTTAACAATAATCAAGTATTTATCAGCCTCACAAATGATTAAATTGAGCCACTTACATTCCCAGATTTTAATTTTAAATATAATATGTATTTTTGATTCTCCATGGAGTTAGTTCAGCAACTTGCCTATCACATGATGTAGCAATTTCTAAAAACAGGATGAAAGATTTAAGCCCTTCCTATCTTGTTGCTAAAACAGAGGATAAATTCATGCATGTATAAGATGAGAATTATTAATGTTAAAACAATATTGCTCTCTGAATGACTATTAAATTACAATAACATTTTATTTTCCATGCCAGGCCAATCACACAGTAAAATGCTATTTGTCACAGTCAAATCAAGGGGTTCAATATTATATGTATTTTAGATTTTTTTTTTTTAAATCAGAACTTAGGTTAAATCTTTTGATTGAGAAAGACAGTTTGATCAGATATTTCCATACATCTTTTCCTTTAATAAAATAATTAATTTATTTTTTAATCATCCATCTGCTCATGTCCTGGAAATTTTTTTCAGCAGCTTGGCCTGTTTTCTCCTGTTAATAATAAATCATTATTTTGATATTATGCCTTAATTTTAAAATCTTAGAAAGATAAATGAATAGTGGCTAGAGAACAGACTCCTTCTATTGCACATCCATCCAATTTCATTATAGTTTGCCTCTGTCTACTCATGAGAGAGTCTTATCAGTATACCTTTAGAAATCTAAGAATGAATTTGGGGGCATAGAAGACTTAGACCCATCTAACTGAAAAGTTGAAGAAAACGGTGCCTATAATTTTATACCTATGTCACTATAATTTTATGCAAAATTCAAAGCTTCCAATAACTAAAAACATATTTTTAGGGTAAGATAGCATATTTTTGACTGAAAAATGTTCACATAAACTCTAGAAATATGAATTTCATATTTATTCCTTGTACTTTATTTATTTAGAGTATGGCTAAATAAATAAATAAATAAAGTGCATGGAATAAAAAATACGCTGGCATAAAAATATTCCTTGAACAGTATCTTTTACTGTAATATTTTACAATGAAATATTTGTCCCAACTTCTAAGAGTACATATCTAAATCTGATGTTAATTTGCCTACATTTACTGCTCAAATAAGTAGAAAAGTAATAACTGTGTATGTAAAAATAACAAAGATTCTGAATTAAAAATGGGTTACTGGGGTTTGAAATGCAAAGCTTGAAAATAAATATATTTTAAATCTATCTCTAAAAAAGTCTGACTGTAAATTTAAATATCACTTCTAACCTGTATGATAAGAAGAAGTCTTGAAGAAATATTTCACAAAACATTTATATTTTTATATATAGCAAATGTTATCAAGAATGTTGGCTTTTAACTTATTCCATAAATCTGTTGCTTATTTATTATGTTAAGCTTACCTAATTTAACATCAATCTATCTATACTATGGGCTCCTTTGCGTAGGGAGCTACATTTGGCTGGGTGTAGGCAGTGTCCTCATTGTGGAAGGCTGGCTTCAGGTGAGGTGTCCCTTAAGACCTGGTTATACCAGCAAGCATAACAGGGATCACAGGAGCATCTCTTCATTTGTTATTTCATTTGTTTTGCTTATTTGTATAATTTTTAATGTTTTTATAATAAATATGATAATGGTTTTACATATTTATTCATTGTTATTAGTTCTGTTGTATGTTTCTCAGAGTTGCTTTTGGTGAAATGGGTAATTATATAACTTAGATAAATAATAAAACAGATTTTTTTTAAAAAATGTTTTTTTTATTTGGGAGTTTTAAAAATCTGCATGTGATTTAATTTGTAGTTCTTAAACAGTTTTTCACATGAAAATGTCATATATTTGCACTTCTAGTACTCTTAAGTATTATGGCTTTTTATATGACTATTTGACAAATTTGACTTCTTAAATTTTCAAGTAACTCTGGTCATTCAAAAATATAATTATTCATCACTGAATACTGGTTCTTGCATATTTCATGTAATATTATTTAATGGTTGTCACTGATTTCATCCAGTGCTATTTAACTGTTTGATTCCCAGAAAACTGTCATCTTAAATTTGAAGGAAAGTGAAGTTTTGAAGAAATTAAATCTATTTTAAAACTAATAATTAATTTTCAGAAGTTTTTCCTATGCCTATAAAGCACTACATGTTTAAAAACCAAGATGGCAAG